AGGAGCCGCGCGTCCCCAGCCCTCCTCCATCCGCGCAGCGGGGCTGCCCTCCGCCCTGCTCCATCACCGCAGCCCATGGGAAGCTCCCGGTGCAGGCACTGCCGGGGACACGGTGTTTTGCAAGCGGGGCAGTGGGTGACGAGCTCCGAGGAGGATGTAATCGTTCCTGGCGCTCTCGCAACAGGCTGCTAGCTGAGGAAGAGGAGAAGCTGAAGCAGCTGATGAAGCTGAAGGAGGAGCAGGAGGAATACATCATCAAAACCCAAATGGAGAAGCAAGTCCTCAAGCAGGAGATGGAGAACAAGAACAAGTGCCTGGAGGAGGCCCAGAAGCAGCTGGAAGAAGTGAGAGTGAACAGGCAGCGGGTGGACCAGGACGTCATGGTGAGCAGTGTCATCCGTGCCGGGAGCCCCCGGGGGACTTCCCAGCTGTCCCCAGAGTCACCTCCACGTCAGGGGAAGTGCTGGGGCTCTGGCATCATCCTCGTGCCACACAGAGCCCGTTCAGAGACACCCGGGTGCAGCCGGGAGGGTTTAGTGCCGCAGAGAGGGCAGGGGAGAGGGTGGCTGGGGAGAGCGCTGAGCCGCAGAGCCGTGTCCTGGCCCAGCGCCCACCCGGGCGGCTCCACCGGGGAGGTCGGGTGCCCACACTGCCCGCTCTGCCCCTGCGACCGCCGGCTCTGTCCTGCGCTGAGCTGAGGGACACGCGCGGCGCCCGCTCTGCCCTGTGCTGAGCCGAGGAACGCGTGTGGTGCCCGCTCAGCCCCGTGAGCGCTGAGTTGAGGGACGCGCGCGGCGCCCGCTCCCGCGGCCGTGGGGAAGCCGCAGGGCTGGTGCTCCCTTGTCATGCAGCTCCCGGTTTCCATGAGTTGTGCCCTGCGTGCGCAGTTGCACAAGGCGATTCCGCAGCTGAAGGGAGACAAGGGCGTTCTGCCCTGGGGTCACGGTGCTGGGGTCTTTGTGCAGGGCCCCAACAGCAACGCTAGGAGCGTGCAGGGACGGGGGCAGCTGAGCAGGAAAAGCAGGAGGAGCGGGTGGCCGAAGGCGCCTCGGGTTGCCGTGCTCCTGTCCCGGGGCCATCCCTGCCCATGGCTGCAGGGGGGTGGCTCACCCCCTCCCCGCTCCCGTTGCAGGCGGCCCAGCACAAGCTGCGACAAGCGAGCACCAACGTGAAGCACTGGAACGTGCAGATGAACCGGCTGATGCACCCCATTGAGCCGGGAGGTGAGGGCCGCGCGCCCGCGGCTTCCCCGCGTACACTGCTGCTGCACAGGCTCCCGGCCACATTCGCGTCCCCATGGGGTGCCCAGGGGGCTGGATGGACCCGTCCTTCAGATGGACCCCAATATCTCTAGTTATGAGGCTCCTCCTTGTGCCATTTCCTTAGCTGGAGGGTCTCAAATGCAGCTCCAAATCCCAAGCAGTGTGACATTGCTTGTCCTCGCTCGACGCCACACACTGCCACCACTGCTCGTGTGCCTGTGGCAGGGCTCGGAGTCACCTGGCTCCCCTTCCTAACCACCAAACACCCCCTCCTGCCCGCAGAGCGCTGGCGAGGACGCAGAACGCCCAGGAAGCTCCTGGACGCACCGTCTTTCCACCCTAGGAAAATAATATTCCATTTGTGTTTGTCCCCAGACAAGCGTGTGAACGCGAGCGGCGGCGGCTTCGCTGGCTACCAACCGCTGCTGTCGCGCAGAGATTCCTCCCTCAGACTCAAGCAGAAAGCGGAGGACAAAGGCAGCGCCGCGGGGGACGAGGGCAGCGAGCCCGGGAGCGGCGGCGCGGCGCAGCCCGACAACTAGCCCTGCGC